TCTGCCACAGGAGCATGGTTCTGAAACCACCTGGACAGGAGAGGTTCCAGAGTGTGCATGCATCCTATTACTATAAGGCTCATGCTTGTGTCATGGTGAGGGTAGCGTCTCAGCTGTGATCTGATAGGATTTTGAATAATAACAGTCCCAGCTGACACTTGGCCTGTATGTGACTTTTTGTGATTATCCTGCCTTGTATTTCGTGACTCTTCCAGTGGTTTAAAAAACTTTCCTATACTGTTCTTTCTTCTCTCATCAGATAAAACCACCACAGCTGGGTAAGTTGCACCCTCTTCTGTCTTTTCTGATAGCACTCTTACTGTATTCCCTGACTTTGCTGTCTTCCTTTTGACACTGTGTTTCCAGTAAGGTGGTCCATACAACTGAATGGACTTTGCACTTCCCATTTATTAGCTCAAATCAGTCTTGTTTCCTGACTCCTTGCCTGCTTACGTCTCTTGGTTTGTACTGTTGCTCTAACTGTCCACTGTTTCTCATCACTTGTGAGCATCAGTCAACTTCATTGATATTTTAGTGGTTAAAATAGACAAGCCTCACATTTGACCCCACTTAGCAGAACTTATCTGTCCCAGTGCTTGTTCACTGTCCTGGGTGATAGACTGCTTGCCATAGTACAAAACAAGACTGTAAAGGAAAATGAGGGTCTATTTCCCACATCACGCAAAGAAACGGGCTGGCTGCATGTTTCAAAGCTTGCTGGATATTCTCCCTTTTCTCTTTCTTCCCTTCTAACAAAGGCCACTTTCCTTGGTTGATGTCCTCCTGGGAAAAATCTGGATAGTGTACATGTATTTGGTGTGGTGGGTTGATCAGGAGCTGCTGGAGCTTTTGGCCCCATGATAACTGGTTCTTTCTCAGAAGGTGCTTGATGTGGAGCAGAGAGTCACCTACAGGAACTTGAACAGCTGGTACAAGAAGCTGAGAGAATTCCGTCCAGAGATTCTTTGCATTGTAGTGGCCAACAAAACTGATGGTGAGTATATATTCTTCTTTCACCCTCTCAGGACTGCAATGTGATTCTCTTCTGATCCGGCCGAGAAAGAATATCTTTCCTCTGTTAGGTCCAGGTGACTTCTTGAGTGTTAGTCCACCAGGGCTGTATTTTACCAAGCAAATAGCTGGGTCTTCTACTGACCTTGCATGCTGTCTTACAGGCTTTTGTCCTTGATCTACTAGCAATTAAACATACAAATCTGATCTATTTAAATTGTATTCAAGTGATGTCCTTCCACTTCTGTCCTCACCATGCTGCCCATTTCATCCAGCAAGAACCCAAAAGCTGGTTGGAACAGTACCCTGTCAAAAACTACAGGATATCTTGCTGGAAAAAAAGCATAACCTGTTATGTGGCTTCCCCTGATGCAGTCAGTAACTGCCTTTGTCTTGCTAATTCAGCCTGCAGGTTTCCATGGAGCTCCTCTGTGCTAAACTGTCTTAAATATACCTGCTCGCAAAATAGTTCACCTTCCTCTGCAGATGATTGGATGATTTCCTCCTCTTAGGAATGCCCACTAGGCATTCATTATTGCTGTCATTTGGTTTGTGATCTGTCTCCTGCATCCTGTGAGAGCGCGTAATGCATCGGCTTTCTGATCAGCATCAATGAGAGAACACAGACCCTTAGGACCAGAGTCTCCTGCTGTTCTCTATCAAGTACAGTGTCAGGCCTAGGCTTCCTTGCTGACATTCATGGTAGAAATCATCACAGCTGGGAATAGGTGTTTGCACCTGACTAAGGTGTCTGTGCTCCCACCACCATTTGGTTCATCGGTGTGGTTTCGGGCATGGTTGTTCTTACCTAATAAAAGCCTTTCCTATAGGCTGTGTCAAGCCAGCCTTGAATCCATCGATTGCACGGACTCTCCAGGAGGTCTGAGGCAAATGGACTTGGTGTTGACAGCCATATCGTAGACAGGACTTCCGTGTAGATGACCTGCTCTTGGCGTTCTCTGTGCAAGTGGGCACTGCTCCAAGAGAGTCCTCTGCCTTGCCGTCATTTGCTGTACTCCACCTGGACTAGGAAATGATTAGCCCACAGCTCTTAACACAGGCCCAGTTGGCAGAACAGTTGATCCGGCTTCCTGCAAAGAGGTGGGGAGCAGCTGCCTGGGCAGTGCTCGCTGGCAAGCATTTGGAGTCTGAACTGCTTCAGATGTTGCTTCTGTGAGAAAAGGCAAATCATCTGAGTCATCCTCCCGTGTTGCCATACAGGCTGTTGCTCTACCAAAACTTTGAGCTGTTACTGCTGTGTCAGTACGTCCTGTAAATAGGTGGTAGATTTGTTCCAAAACTGAAATAAAGCCTCTGGCCTACTGAGGTTGGGGTAGCTAGCCCTAACTGCCTCTTAAGCACAAGTATATAACAGTTGAGTTGTTTGTACACTGTGAGCGTGCCCTTGACTCACGGGAATGTAGGTAACATTGCATAAAAGCAGTGGGGAGTTCTGGTTAAAAGGCAAAACTGGAGGTAGAGGCATGACTAGTACTGGCAATGGTGTCGAGGTCATCTGGACACAGCAGAAATCAGAGGCATGTGCCACACAGCAAGTGAACTGATAGGTTCTAAGCTGCACAGCATTATGCATTTTTAGCCCATCAGAATCCATCTGTAATTTAGCCAAACACCATGGATAAACCAACAAGAACACTCTTATTTTTGTGTCTTCTTGTCAATGGCTTGCTGATGCTGTTGCTTTTGAAACCCTATGGCTTTTGGGGAGGACTCTCCTAGCCTTGTACTTGACAGCTAAGTCAGGCTCTCATCCCATCTGTTCCACCACTCCTGCATATGTTGGCATTCTGCCTGAAGCGATGTCTTACTGAATCCACCTCCTTTTTTTGCCCCCAGCAGATATGAAGGGGACCCAGAAAAGCTTAAATGTTGCCCAGAAGCTCAGTTAGCCCTTCTACTTTGTGTCTGCTGCTGATGGCACCAATGTAGTGCAGGTACGACATGGCTCAGCATCCATGAGAGCCTCACACGGTGCAAGGACATGGAGACTACTGTAGGCACAGTGAGCAGAAAATGGGCTAGTACATCTGTTTGGCTACTTGTGAGGTACTGGTAGCTGTAGGTGGTTGCAAGGGGTTTGGGGTTTTTGTTGGTTTTTTTTCCTTTCATGGAGTGTGGGAACAGTTTCCATATGTTACAGAAACCCAGCACCCCTTACTTTGAGTGATATTCTCCTTCTCATCAGCTCTTCAGTGATGCTTTCCAACTGGCAATTGCTTACAAACAGAATTTGGGAGGTTTCGTGGATGAGGTCCTGCGAGAACTGGAGGTAAGAAAGGCTCTACTTACTGCCCTCCTCCTAAGGGATGAGGAGCTCTGCTCTTTTTTCCCTCTGGTGAAAAGGGTTAAACTTTGCAGGCATGTAAAGATTTGCCTTACTCTGGTGACACCATGGGCTTTGTGTGCTGCTTGTGTCTAGGTTGGAAGGGGTGAGGTGGTGACCCTCTGAAGAGCCCATGCAGCCCTAGATCAAATTTGAAAGAACCACACCAGAGTGTAGCTGTTTCTCTCACACTTCTCAGAAGTTCCTTGTCCTGCACCTTTCCAGAGCTTTGACCTGCAGAAGAAGAGTGAGAATTTGTTGGATAAAGAGAACAGCTGTGCTGAAAAGAAGCCCCCATCTGCCTAATCCCCAGACTTGAGTCTGTTTTTTCCCCTTGCTCGAGATTTCTGGGGCTAGTTAGAGCTGGCCTTCACAGACGAAAGTGATTTTTCTCATGCCCTGAGAGCTCTGGCAATGGGCAGCTGGGACTCTCCCTTCTTGTAGGAGACTATCTGGGTATGACCTTCCCTGACTCGGCCCTAGCCACTGCACAACATGATCAGGGGAAGAGTGAGAGCATCCACATGGTTGCTAGTTACTGCAGACTTCTTCAAGGCAAAACTGGCCAGGAGAGGTAAGCCACTGTTGCACCTGTGGGGAAGGGTCCTGCCTGGATGCTTTAATGGTACCTACTGGAGAAAACAGAGACTAAAGATGTTTTTCTATAAAGCTTTGAGCTTGTGTCCTCCTGCACTTTTGTTATAAGCAGTCCAGTTACTGTACAGTGCAAGCCCAACTATCAGCCCTCCCCATCACTTTCACAGCCTAGCCAGTGCTGCCTCTGTCCACCCCTGTGATCTCTGGAACAGTGTTTCTTTGGGTTTCCTTCCCCATACTGTTACGGAGCAGCCAGATCCAGGAGCCTTTTGAACATGGGGGATTTCTCCTTTCAGGTCTGCTGGAGCTGAATCAGGTGGACTTTCACACCCAGGAGGCTTGTCCTATGCCAGCGTGATTGATGTGGCTGCTCTGTTCCCATGTGTGAGCTCAAGAGACTTATGTGGTGTTCCAGTGAGCCAGATACACAAACACACACACAGAGACACAATTAATGTGCATGGCAAAACGGATTGATGCAGACAGAGCAATGTGTTTACCAGCACCTGTGTATACATAACCACCACTTACGTAAACACAAGCACAGTCCAGTCCTTCCCTGCCTTTCCAGACGACTGGGATTGGGTGTTTACAAGTAAAATACAAACATGCCTTCGCTCCCCAGATTCGTAAGCACAGCATGTTCGTAGATTCCTCAGATAACAGTATGGAAATTAAGTCCATGTAATCTCTGTGGCTGGATGGTCAAGCTCCTTATCCAGTCACTGGTGCAAACCCTGGGTCTTTCTAGATCTGTGTCTTTTGGGTCATGAGAGAGTCCAGTGTCAAGTTCAGTGGTGCATTGTATACACACACACAGGGATCCCACCAGTAGCTTGCCTAAGACACTTTGCATTTCCAACTGCTGTCCCCAAGAGCTCTAGCCCCCTATGACCTGTGTTCCCTTCTTCCACTGCACCCTCATCCTCCTCTTGGACCAGACATGCCTTCAGCACTTTTGAGTGACTCTTCCCCTTTCTGCCCTACTCTCTGCCTGCAGCCTCATTTTGCAGGTGCCAGCCATGGAAGTCCTTGCCTTGCACAGGACACTGCATTGGACTGAAGCATGGTTAGCTGTGAAAACTGTCAACTTTATTTCAAGAACCAAGTCAGCTTCAGCATTTGTGTGCACTCAGAGGAGTGTGGCCAGGACAGAGCAGGCCTTTGACACTGAGGCTGCCGTTGGATCAGCAGGCGTTGCCCCAGAAGGAAATGGTCATGGTACGCTGCAGCCTGCACTGGATCCTGTTCACCCTGCTGCTCAAGCTCTTCTTCCCCTTAGGACCTGCAGGAGATCCTGCAGCAGATCAAAAAACTTCACCAGCTTCTGGCGTGGGAATGGGCAGGGTGTAAACCTGCCCGATTGTGTTGGCCTTGGCCTTTGAAAGGGGGTTGAGGTGAAGGCTGGCTGCGGCACTGGAGCAGCCGTTACTGCTGGGCGCAGTCCCATCTGTACCAAGATCCAGTCGTAAAAGTGCTGTGTGGAGGTGTAGACTCCGGGCTGTTTTGCTCTTGCACAGCCTTTCCCCCAGCTGGTCACTCCAACAAGCCAGAAGTAGTCAGCACTGTTATCTTTGCACACGAGAGGACCACCACTGTCACCCTGCAGCAGAGGAGAGAGGATGAAGGTGGTGTTGGGTGGCCTCTGTCAGCAGCATGGCTGGCTCTTTTCTCACAGCACCTTCCATAGCTGTATTCACTGCACAGAAAGGCTCTTCTCAGGTGCTGCAGCCTACAGAACCTTGTCTGGGAGGGGGTGATGGGCCTATAAGGTAGGGGTGTCTCATCTCTGTGCAGTGATTCTGGATGCATGGAAGACAGATGTTCCATTATTGGCACCTGGACATGTGGGCTGCTGAAAGCACTGGATGGGCTTTCTGGGAAAAGTCCCAGGCCTCTGGGACAAGGGGGGCACTGGGCAAGGACCTGCAGCTGGGGAAGGGGAGGTGAGCCCCAGGAGCGGTGCGGCCCCAGCAGTGGGAAGGTGACTTGCCAGGCAAAGCACACACCAGACTATGTTTGGGCAGTTGTGACAGGGCTGCCTGTGCTGCTGGGGTTCACTTGTAGCAGGCTCCTACCTGGCAGGTGTCGATGCCACCCTGCGGATAGCCAGCACACACGTTGTGGGTATGGATGGCCCCTCCATACCACTGGCTGCTGTTACAGAGGTTGACATCAATGAGGTAGACCCTGGCCTCCTGCAGGACATCAGTCGATTTTACAGCTGTGAGCACAGAAAGGAATTAACATCCAGCAGGTCGTTGCCAGTTCACCTCCCTGGTCTGGGTGCACCCCTTCCCTAGGGCTTGGCTTTGCATCTTGAGAGGCACTGTACCAGTGCTCCCCTTCTCTCTTGCCTCGGGTAGCGGGTCAGGCCCATCTCTCTACAGGTGTACCTCCCCGCAGCCTGGCTCTGGCTTTCGCCTCTGCAGTCATGAAGCCCAACCCATCCCCCCAGGGTGCCAAGCTTGCACTCAGGACATGAGTACTTTTTGGGAACTCACATCTTGCAGCTGTGGAACCCCAACCACTGACGTAGCAGGTTGTCAGCTCTGACACTCTCAGCGAGGCGTCGGGCACGCAGGCAAGCTGTATGTAGTAGTTGCACTGGACAGGCTGGTCCAATTCCAGCAAGGCAATGTCATTCTCCTCTGAGATATTTCGGTAGTGTTCGTGAACCAGTAGCCGCTTAATAGTGCGCACTTGGGCCTCAGGGCCCAGCTGAGTCAACTGGGTGGCCCCAATCACCACGCGCCACATTGTGATGTGCCTGGAAGGCAGAGAGAGGGGGGTCAGGGGGAGTAGAGCCATGTGCTGCTGCAGCAGCCCGGCAGTGCCCTGCCTTCTGCTGCACAGGGGAGGGAGGAAAGCAGCGCTGCGGAGGGTGGGACTGCCCTCGCATGCCTTGGGCACAAGGAATGTTGCGCTGGAGGCTGCTAGGAAGCAGTGGCCCGAGCCCAGCCTTCGCCTGAGCAGTCTCCCCGTGGAGCTCTGGAGTGCCCAGGCACCGGGCGTAGTGCAAGGGAATGGATGGGAATAGCCGGAGGTGCTGGGGACAGGGCACCTGCGAGTGCTGTGGGGATGTCCCTGCTCCCTTGTCCTCCATACCTGGCCTCAATGAAGCAGTGGGCTGCTGTGAGGACCCACTGTGGGCTGATGAGGGACCCTCCACATATATGCCCTGTGCCTACTTTCCAGGGGTTCTGGATGCTGACGATCCAGGGCCAGGCCCCTTGCTGGGCATCTGTGCCACCCACAACGCGTGATCCACCGTAGTGAGAAGCCATGGGCCGGAGCCCGCAGGTGCCTCTGTAAGCAGAAACTTGTTACTGTCCTGCTCGATGGCTTGCTGCTGTTCAGGCTGAACGTCAGCCACTCTCCCTGCCCACAAGGTGTTGCATGGACAGCGGGGCCAGGGAACCCCACGGGGCGAGGGTCCGGCCGCC